CTTCTCAATACTTTTACTTTGTCAACCTTTGTGTAACTTTGAAACAACTTTTTTTTATAAGAAAATTTGTTTTATTTTTTTAAACCAATTTTTTATTTGAAAGTATTAAGTAACTACAATAACTAACAAATACAATTATAAATAAAAATTGTATATTTATAACAAAATAAATTGGCACATTTTTTGAAATTGAATAAATCTAAGCATTATTGTTTACTAGTAATAAACAAAGCAAGAGAGTAATATTTTTATACTACTTCCTCCTACACAATTCTACAATAAATTCCTTACACATTTATAGCTTTTGACGCTTATAAAATGATGAATTAAATTATTCCCGATATATTTTGTACAACTTACTTCCAAACATCAGAAAAAAATGATATCCAGCGATTCTTTTTTGCCTTAAAAGGTTAAAATTTACTGTAAACTTTTTTTATTTCTCTTTTTCAATTTAAAAGTTATGTTTTGTGTCCAATCTGAATTTATTTTGAGTATTTCAGATGACATAAAAACTAAATTTACAATTTTTGAAACGAATGTCATATTGACTCGAACGAAATGACCTGTGTTCGATTATCAAAGAATGATTGAATTGTAGATGTAATTTAATTTTCATTAAGCAAACTAGTTGTGGTTAAAGAAGTAAACAACATGACATCGAAACGACACAATATCGTTCATGTATACATAACACAAATACACGCAATACTTGTACAGTATTTGGTAGAAACTATTGTATCTATGGGTCTAGTCTAGTGCTCTAATGAGCGAGTTGCGTTTTCCATGTACTTCCAATTTGCTCAGCCAATTACAAACCTACTGCAATTTGTCATAATCAATGTGAGAGAATGGAAGTAAGAGAGAGAGGGAGAGAAGAAGAAACAGAGACGGTGCGAATAGGATGAAGAGATCAGAAACTATGTAGCTAGTGTAAGCGAACAAGTTTGCTACCATTGAATACTAGTTTGAGGGAAGATCAACAGTTCTCGGTGAAATTAATCAAATTCAACACTTTAGCTTGCGTGAGCCGACATCAATTTTCGGAATTATAGCTCCAAAATTTCTCCACTTCTATTCAAGCAAATAGCGATAAGTTTTTCAATGATAACAATGAGCTTTTAGCGTACCATTGAAATCTACAAACATTTATTATAGAATAAAAAAAAAACGAATCGTATTTGGTCATCTTAATTTAATACTCTGAGCTTGTAATCGGTATGAAAATCACCTACGGTACAATTGTCTGACGCACAGCCTCATTTGCATGTAATTGCAGTGTATTCGCATAAACAATGCTCTCTCTTGTCCATAGAATGCTCCAAGAACAATTTGCATATTTTATATAAATATATAGTTATCCCTAAATGTCGATTTATCTACGAATAATGATCTATAAAATGTCAAATGTATCTCTTTATTTGTCTAATCTCATTACATATGAATTCTTAATATATGAATATTTATTTCTTTCGAAATCATTTCATCAGTGAATTATATTAATTCAACTTCAGTGATTTTTCACACGTTGTCAGAAGCAATTTTCTATAACTATACTTTAGATACTTACAGAAACTTTATTCAAGTATATATTCATCATGAGTGCATTCATTAAATGATGTTCCTGGTTTACTTTTTTTTCAGTTTTTTTTTTTTGCACGTAATATTATAACTTAAATGAGTTATCCATGTGGCCCATCTCCATAAAAATTATCACCTAAAAGTTTTCGTTCTTTTCACGAGAATGAGTAAATTAACATTGACTTGACTATAATGATGAATAATTATCAACCTACACGAGAAAAATTTTCTGTTGCCATCACAGATCGAAGTACATTTGCACGTCTGCATGGTAAATCTGCATTAGATTACTTAATATTCATGACAAAATAAACTGTTCCTAGAGGGATGATATTTTTATTGAATTTTGTTTTTGAAGAAACATTTAATCAGTAATGAGATGACACATCTAATTAATTTTAGAGGTACGAAATTCATGCGAGTATATTGAGATGTTGGTAAAATACACTGAGTGCCTAAACAATCTTGCTAAAGAGTACTTCAATCGCTATTTAACCACTAACGAATTCTCTTTGAGTTTGACGCATCGACGATATAACATTATTGAACAAACATACCTACTTGATGCAAATCACTGACTGCAATGTTCTTAACTTGTTGAAGTAGTATAGTACATGGATTCATCAATATTTACAATAAATATATTAACTTATTCAGTTTGCATGACGTTTTCAAAAGACTTAGGTCAATATGTATCAAACTCAAAGTTTACAACAAATAAACTATCTGCTCTCTTCGTAAATACATTGTTTTATCATTTAAAAATTCAATGAATCAGTTTTTAATCATTTCTTTTAAGCACATTAATCGAGTGTAAAAGAATTAAATAAATAAATTTTATTCAAAGCATCATAAGCTTCATTTAATAAAAAAAAATATTACAAAAATGTATCCACGATCATTCATGAATTTATTAATGAAATTAAATAAAATATAATGTAAAATACGTGGAGTAATTTATACATATACAATATTAATTAGTTCAACGTTATTACATATTTATAATGAATAATAAATACTGATATAGATAAATATGATGTAGAGAAGGCAAAACTTTACTACATGTTGTATAGATAAGTTGATGAAGAGGATTAAGATTTAGTAATAATCAGATTTTCCCCCAAGCAATATAATAGATGCATTTCTGTGGTCATATTAACGATATTGGTTGTATTAGACAAGCTTGAAATCCAACATAATGAGCGTTGAAACAGGAGTCAACGTATGAAATTTGACCGATTACCGAATGACCTCATTAACTAGGTTTTTGACGAAATTGTTGGAGGGAAATGTACCCAAGTTACTAAATCTTCTTAACATTTTCATCCATCATGAAATAATTATTACTGGTAGGCAAGTCGTAAAGTGAACAATTACTCTTTTGAAAAGTTAGAAAATAAAAAGACTTGCGAACATTTTAAGTATCAATGTGTCGTCGACTAGTCTCATCACAAGTAGTTGAAGAAAGTGATATAATTTTCATAGATCTTAAGATAGGGTGAAGAAAGAAATAAAAGAAGATGAAGGCCAAAAAATAGGGGAATAAAGAAAGGCTCAATAACTTGAATCTCTTGGGTTTTTATATGATATATTGACTCTAAAAAAAAGTTTTATACGACTCTAGAGACTGATGGGATGATTTTATATTTCACTTCTTTTATCAACTTTTTATTTAAAGTTGAATAAAATTTTTAAAACTCGTATAGCCATTATTTCTTATTTGTTTTACTAAAATTACTCGAGTTATACTTTTTCATCATATATTCATCAAATACTTATACACGTGAATTTTCTTGTATGGGTTATTTCATTTTCTATCCTGTTTCATTTGATAAAACCGTCATTTCCGGATTTTTCCGAGCAAACTATGTTAACGTGTCACGCCTCGATTTTAGGATCCATTTCTCTCACCTCAATCACATTTTCAAGCTATTCGATTTCTTCTGACCTTTGGTGGAAATAGGAGAATATCGCTAGGCCCGTCATTTTAAAGAAAATTATGGCGATTCCACCCGCCTCTTTGGGATCTCGTTTGAGAAAATTTTCTCAGTATCCTCTTGTATATTCGCTCTTACATTTCAACTTTCTTTTCCTCTACTCTCTGTCTCTCTTGGTTATTTTTAGAAAGCTCTTCGACGAACGATAGGATAAGATATAAGTATGAAATAACAAGAAAATGTGCTGTAAGATTCTTTGATATCTCTTTTTAGAACCATATCAACCTGAAGCTAAAGTTCAATCCCACGAGAATACTCTATCGGACATCGAGAACATTCTATTCACTATCGTACGATTGTTTATGCCATTTCAATGTGAAAAAGAGACAAGTTTATAAGATGAGTAAAGTCACAAGACGAAAGAAAAATAAGTTGAAAGAAAGTAAACGATGAATTCCATCGAATATTTAGCCATGTTTGAAAATTTTTGCTTGCTTCAACGAATTCTACAATAACACTGTCGACCTTTATCTTCTTCAAGCTTTTAACTCATCCTATATTTTCCCATTGCCATGAATATCAAATCAGGGTACACCAATTGTCATAATAAAATTTGATTCACGCGATTTTTATTAAAATTATATTTGCTAACATAGTAAACTCGTAAAAATTTTTCATGCTAAATATATGGGAAAAATATTTAATAATAATTCTATTCAATTTGCAAAATATGTTAAGTATGTATATATTTTCAAGTATATTGATGATTTGTCTCAAGTTACTTGTTACTTTGTTCGCTTATAAGATTCTTATAAAAATTTTACAAATATGCGAAATTCATTAAAATTTCTATTCATTCTTAGAACCCTCGACACAGGGCACTGTGGATTATTCATCTTTTGCGTAAGGGGGTTTTAGAGTATTTCTCTACTTTCTTTATTTTTTACACTTTCTTGCCTCCCTTTCATACATAGGAGATTCGAAAAACGAATACGTTAAGTCAAGTGTTTCACTGCTTTCAAGTTCCACCGTGTCTAGCGGAAAAAACTAAGTTTTATTGCAGAATGAAAGTTGTAGGAAAGAAGAAAAAAACCGACAAGTAGAGGGAATAAGTCAACGCACTACAGTGCAACTAACGTACCTAACTTTTTTCTGACGTTATTATTTCACTTCTTCATTAATTAAAATAATAAAATATAATGACTTGCGTAAATTTTACCTCAGAGGTTATATGTTAAGATTATAACTATAATTACTATACTTTCAAGTCATGAATAATTAATTTTTAAAAATTACTATAACTTTATAAAACTGTTTGGACAATTTTATCATTGTTATCCTTAAATGTTTTCAATGTCATTCCATGTATGAAATTTATCTGACTTACTCTAATACAAATATATACGTATATAGATAGACTAAAGAAATTTCTACTGTGCATATAAAGATAAAAAATGTATGTATGTGCATGAAACCATATATTTATTTAAACAGAAATGTTGTATTATAGAGTGAGTCACATTTGTATCGTGAATAAAATTCAGTAGCAGCACACGCATATCGTGGCTGAATGCCAAGGATAGAGATGTGCTGAGCACAACGATTGGTGCATTGCATTAGGCAATCTTATTCTGGTAGATATTGGATTCGCGAAGAATTCACGCGCCAGACAAGCTTTAGAAGTATGCTACATAGTACTATTGTGATGTACATAGCCAACAAGCATAGTATCAGCTGTACACTACTTCAACAATCTAAGCCTTTCTTCCTGTTCACTTTCATTTTGAGATTCTCTTGGCATTGGGGTTTTCTCTGGTTTGTGGTAAAATACCATTACATATTTTTTTCCTTACTCCGTTTGTTTTATTTCATTCATTTTTTTAGAATACTTTTTATTGTTTTTTTTTTCCATTTTTATGCTTTTTTCTTAGTACAACACACCGCTCTAATAGGATGAAATTGCAAAGAGAGAAGGATGAAAGTGAAATATTTTGAAATTGAAATAATACTAGGGAACAAGTTGGAGAATCAGAGTGAAGACTGTGTCAGTTATACGTGAAGGGAAAAATTAGAGAAAATGTTACAGGAGAAACAACCCCTTGCAATGACTCTCATAACGATAATAACGACTGTCTGCAGGAAATATAAGGGTTACCCATGGTTTTAATTAGCGACAGTGTCAAACCCCTACGGATCACTTGGATCTCTATGGTAGGCTTCAGTGCGAGTACTTATCCACTACACGCCATGGTGCTGCAACATTATAACGATATCGCTCATCTCGTAGAACATTATTTTAATTAACGTTGCTGAAAAAGAAGCAACTCTATTTTTAATAAATAACTTTTTTTTTACTCATCATTGAATATTTAATCATTATCATCAATATTTGTCAATACCATAGATACTTATGAGTAGAGTGGACGGTCTACATTCATTATATATTTTTAGTTCATTTATTTTAGATATATTAATATGATAGAATGTGTAACTGATACATTTTATATACTTCATTTTAGTTAGAGTAATGTCTAAAGGTTTAAGATAGAATTGGATAAACTTTCAGAAATGAAAAATCCACAAAAACGGATTGAATTGTTTCCAGTGCAATGATCCTGGTAAATGTAGATTCAAGAGCTTGAAAAATTTCCACCCAATAACTTCTCCAGTGTAGCTTTTTCTGAGCTTGAGTATTTTTGATGCATTTTTTTCTTTTTCTTCAACATTCCGTGTTATTATAATGAGGTGAGAGGAATCATCCGCGGTAAAATAAAAGAAAACTAGGTAATCTTATGCTCCATGAACGCAATGAATGTCCTAACTGGGCTGAATGCAATTATTTCTCTCACTTGTGTGATTCTTTAAGATTTTAAATTTTTCTTAAAAACTAAGTATCATATTCTTGTCTATATCTTACTTTTTCATTATAAATTCAAATTTTTTTTTTTAAGGTATTTAATTACAAAGTATAATTTGTTTAATTTACTTCGAATACACATCAATAAATAGTACTATTTAATCACTCTCTAAGTGGTTATTTATCTAAACAGATTCCTAATTTAGGTAACCAAGTAGACAGCTTCTAATTATCTAACTGCTGGCGTTGACATTGGCTCGAAGTCGTGAGTGATTAATGTAAATAATACGCCAACTAATATCAACATTTTTCATTGTATAATCAATCTCTTTGACATCGTGCTAGAGATTGATGATAAACAAATATTCATAAATAAATTAAAACAACAAAAAAAGTTCAATATTAAAACTATTGGGAAAAGCAAATTTTTCATTGAACATTACACAAATGTCTTGATATCGATATCGAAAAAAAAAATTACGAATCAGCAAATTTGTTACATTGAAATGAATTATTTTATTCGACTCATTGGTCTGATTTCAATTCATTCTTTACTAGTATATATCCCCAAATGTACGAGCCAGTTTATCGCTCTCCACTAGTTTTATGGAACTTAAAAGATCGATGGTATCGTGGCTAGAGTTTTACTACATGAAAGCGCACCTCTGCAATTGTCAGTTGAAAAAATAATCGTAATTCAATTTTGGGAAGGTAATAAAATAATTCGAGGATTTGAAAATATCAAAAAGAAAATAAATCTTATTATGATTGGCTTTTGAAATTATTACATTTATTACAATAATTGATGAAAATGAATTTCATATTTGAATGATTATATTGAAATGTTGATTATTAAAATATAATAATTCCATATGAGAAATATATCAAACATTATTGAAAATCTTTAATTATGAATTTAATAAAAAGGAGTGGTGAAATTATAAGGCTGAATATTTGTTGGAATTTTAATAAAAATGTATAAAAGCGAATACAAAGCATTATTTGAGTTTGTGTACTTTGGAAATTAATTAGGTGCAGTAAGAAGCTAAGGATATCGTTATAAGAATTTCGAAGAACAGCGCTTATCTTCTTAGACGAATTCTGATGAAAAGAGTACGAAGAAAAGAGGAAATTAATTTTGTATTATGCTTGCAGCATGCCTTAAGGCATCTTCGAGCTTTTGAGTGACCCTTCTATCTGTAATATATATGAAAGTTGAGAGCACAAAAGGAGTAGATAGTACAGAAGAAAAATTGAGCCAGGTTAAGTTCTTTGAAAAATTCCAAATAAATTAACGAACAGCATTTAAAATATTGGTACCATAGAATTACATGATCATTAAAAATAAATAATTAAAATATACATTGATGAAGTATATTGTTCCAAACGCCAGCTCTATTTATACTTTACGTGTAACGTCATGGTTTATTAACATACATGGCCATTGATGCAAGCTCCAGGTTGTCGCAAGCGCTCATGCGTGGAGCAACAAGACACACGAGACATTTAGTGATTGATAACGCTATCGACTCGGAAAGAGGCCATGTGAAGCTCCCCATGGAACGTCTGCCTAGTCTGTCGGATCCAATGTAAAAAGTCGAGTGAGAAAAAACTATGCGAAACGCTTGGTAGAATTTTCAATAAGACGATGGTTACGAAAAGAAGGGATGAAAGAAGAAGATTAATGCAATGTTGACGGAGACGGTCGCGACGACAACGGTGCTACCGTCAAAAGGACATCCCCCGAGGAAAGTAAAAGGATCATTCTCTTTAAGAACTCATATAGTAGCGTAGGATGTCTATAAAGCATAAGTTCAGAGGCCTCAGTCAGTTAAGATAAATTATTCAACCGGAAAACTTCTCTTCTTCTTTGAGATCTTGTGAAGCAAAGGAATTATTTTATTATTAAATGGGAAAAGAAAATACTTCAATTACAGTAAACATATTTATTGAGTGTACGGTGGAGAACAGTCAACATTTTATTTAGATTTTAATAAGTTGGTGATGATGATTATTATTATTATTATTTTTATTATATTTTGATTAATGATTAATTTTTTTTATTATGGAAATGTAGTTGTTAACAAATAGAATTCATTTTTTATGTTCGAAGATACAATGGGATACATATGGTCCTATTTCTCGTATCAACATGATGGAAGATTGTGAGGCAATAAATTATTTAAAGCATACAGATTGTTGTTAAATCAAAATTTTCCAGTAGTAAATTCAATGAATGAAGGCTAGTGAAACGGATTTTCGTACATTAAACGGACGCTACTAATATTTATCATGCACTATGCATGACTAACTTTGAGCTCGCATCTATGTATACGTCAGCTTTACAGTATATAACCGGTTACTATAGAATTAATCTCGTTTATTTACCCTGTATGAGCTGAGCTCTGACGCGCAGGATTAAAGTTGGAAACTTCAGAGACACATATCGACTTCAAGACTTTTCATTCATTCAATCCCAAGCATTACATAAAGAGCTTTGGTAAAGTTGAAGTAATCCAACACAACACCCATATTATCATCATCAGCTGAACTTGCTATACATAAATGAGAATAATTACTTAATTTACTTTTTATTTAAATTAGAACAATGATAATTAATCAAATTAAAAACGCATTAAGTAGCTGTTTTAACTTACTAATATTAAATTAAATGATCTATTGAAAAATCTCATCAGTTAGCAATGAGAGTCAGGAAACTAGTTCTTAAATTCATTATTTATTCGTGAACTTTTTAATACAATAAACATGAATTAATTCTAAATTTATCATCAGTTAAGTTATTTTGCTCATTTAAAATTGACTACTTCAATAATATATGATATTTTTAAATCCAACCATTTTGATCTAAATTTCCTTGATAAAAGGAAGCTTCAATAATTTATATGTTTTCAGTAAATACTAGAATATTTAAATTCTCATTATTTGGAGAACGTGAAATATAGATATTGAATCTAAAAATAATTTTAGAAATAACAGTTTTGATAAGTATTATTGCTAAGCTATAACTTTTACCACCCTTCAGAAAGTCATTAAACCTCGAAAAGTAACATTACACGTAGATACGTGCCTTATCTCATTTTTATATATGTCAAATCTTTCCAAGAAAATACCTGAGTCGATAATAATGCAGGACTCGATGGGAAATCTTATTGCAGTTTTCAAGTTTAAAGTGAAATCTTTCTGTAGCTTGCACTCTTGAACATTGAAAGTGAAGTGGAATTTTCGTGAATTGATGCATCAGTTTATTCATAGGAGAAGTACAAGTAGATAAGAATTTATGCTAAGTTGAGTTAAACTATCAGATTAATGATGCTGCTGTGTTAAATACTCGAGTTAAAAATGATCAAGGGTATAAGAGAAGTGGTGAAACTAATATACTTGAAGGAATTTTCAAACTCAACCTAAAAGAGTAAACTTAAAGACTTGGATTATATGAGCAAGTGGATAAGGTGCTGACTGAAGCTACTAACCACAGAAATATTTTAGCAGAATTGCACCAAGGCAATTAGACGTGATGATACAAGAAATAGTAGAGCACTAAACTGAGAAAAAGCTCTACTCGTCGACAGGTTTCATGTGGTTATGTGGGCACTCGTGGGACTTGAACCATCTAGCAAAAACTTGGATGGACGGCTTGGGCCTGAAGAAAGACCGGGCGTTGCCGGAATGGAAGATCTTAAGGAATGTCGCACGTATATCTTAGTCTTTTCTTCAACCAAAGAAACAAATTTAATTAATGTAATTGGAATATCAGAGTGTCATTATTTCATTAGTGACATAAACTTTCTTGTTACCAAGAATTTTGGTGAGTTTCATCAGCCAACCTGTCTTTTTTTTACTCCTTCATTCATTAAATTATATCATTTATCAAGAGAACCATCAAAACTATTTTTAGAAATTAATGCTCTCATTTTTTAACTTTAATTTCTATGGGGCATGAATTCTTTTTTTGTTTAATGTAAAAATAAATGAATTAAAGTATGCCATGAGGAACCTAATTATTAAGATAATATTCTTTTTATTCTTTTAATGGTCTATTATAAAATGCTTGATGTAAAAAGTTGAAATAATTATGAAGTAATTTCTTTACAAATTATGTTCCATTGATGAGGATAAAACAATATTTACCTTCATGTAAATAAATGCATAAATTTTAAAGTAAGAAAAGTATAACTGGTACATCTGAAGTTTGATATGTAAATTATCGTTTCCATATTCATTTTTCAAAAGTTAGATATTTCCTGCTTTTTGTTCAATTGCAACTTTCGTAAAGTTCAAAAAGCTGTCAAATGTAGTTGCGAATCTGTCACTCGGGACAGAAACTGCTCGTGACCAGATAGAAGTCAGTGAAAAGAAAAACTGAGAGTGTCATTCCCCCAGGTATGCATCGTTCTACTCTCTGCTGAAATATTAAAATAAACTATAGCGAGCATCTGTGTTAAAGGTTGCTTTACCTTAGTGAATTCAGTTGAATATCTTGGGCAATGGTTAAAAATCTCGTGAGAAAAACAAATGTTTGCATAAAGTAATGTTTCGAATGACATTTATTCAAAAAGTGATGAATAAAAATTTATAATATTCCATTTTTTATCCTTTCATATTCGAATGAAATTTGACAATTATTTGTTTAATTTTCTTCCAAACTATTGATTGTGCCAGACATTTTATCAGATTTCCTCACTGAGTCATAAAATGCAATAAAATTGAAATAAATTGTATCACAACATTTAAACAATGTGTATAATAAGAATTACAATGATACATCAATTTTTTACCCTCATTTCTGTATGTTATACGATTACATACTTTATAAAAGAGGATCAATCCCCATTTCACCCTCTCTTTTTTGCACACGTGTGGATTGGTGTGCGTATCGAATCATAAAAAATGGTACGAGAATGTTTAATGCATGGAATACATATTTTCCGATACATGTATAAAAGAAATATTGACTTCTACCAATAATTTATTGTACAATATGACAAATGATTGTTACAACGAATTGTATATACATAATTCTCTATAAAGTTGAGATAAAAATTTTTTAACATTATTATATAGCAAATACTCTGTTATCATGACAACTGAACATGAGTTCTTCGTTGAGGATTTGAAAGTATTGCACATTTTTGCATAGTTTTGAATGCATTTGGTGTAATAATTTTTGATGTACCAAGTAATTCTTGACTGAGCTCTTGATATTTTTCTTCTTCTTCTTTCACACTATTCTGATATTTTTCTGCATTCTCTTTGAGATCTTTACATTTCGTCATTCGTTGATTCTCAAGTTGAGCTTGTAGCTCGAGTCTATATTGCAATGCCTTTTCGCGTTTTCTTCTAGTTTCAGCGAAACATGCAGCAGCATCAAGTTCAGTATTTTTTTTATTTATTTCTTGTTCTTCCTTCAAGAGTTTTTCTCGCTCCTGTTCAATTTCTCTTTTAACCTTCAATTGATTTTTCCTTTCAGCAATAAATTCTTGAAAAATACTTTCTTTCTTTTCTTTGTCTCTTTTAATAGCAAAATCTCGTCTAGCTTGAGCATCTTTAGCAGATTGCTCAATAATCGCACTAGCTTCAGCATCTCTTTTTGCTTCTTGTGCCCTCAATTCTGCTAAACTCTTCATATAAGCCGTCATTTCTCTCTTAAAACTTTCAGCAGATTTCGCGATCTGTTCTTTTTCCTGTTTCAACTGTACCTCACTTTCAACCTTGAGCTTTCGTGCAGTTTCAGATTCCTGACGAGCGCTCTCAGCAAGACGTCTCCTTGCTAACATCAGTTGCTCTTCTAAGTCCCTCTTGAGTTGCTCGCGTTTTGTCTGCTTTTGCGTTAAGTTGTGCTCTTCTTCGGCCCTTACTTGAGCTCGAAGATGTTCATGCTCTTGTCTCTCCTGCTCACGCTCACGACGTGTTTCTTCTCTAGAATACAATCTTCGAGCTATTTGCTGTTCCAAAATGCGACTTGTGTCTTTGTCAATAGCTCGACGCTTTCTGCGGTCTTCCTCTTCTTTGCGACGTTGATTCTCACTATTCCTCAACATGATCTCGTGCCACAAAGTATCCAGTTGCTTTTCCTCTCTTAAGCGAGAGGACTTCTCCAATATCTGTGCGAGGTTGGAATACTTGACACCTCGGGTCATTTCTCGTGAAATTTTATCCCTGACTTCAGGACATCTTTCCAGTAGCTGTTGTCTTTTCTTTAAAGCTGCTACCAGCATACGCTGACGTTCTTCCTCTCGTATTCTCTGTTCATCAATGTCCTTCCTTAATTCTCTGTCCCTAGAGGCTTGGCATCGATGAGCTTGATTGACGAGCTCCTGTGTCAACTCAGCTTCCTCTGCTTGAATCATGGCACGTAACTTCTCTCTTCGAGTATTGATATCTTCCTCGTACGCTGTCATACCTTTCAACCGAAAACAATACAGGGTCAGTAGTCGTGAATATAATTCAATCTACGGTACAACTATAATAGAGTTTCCTAAAGTTATGTTCCATGCATTAATAAACCCTTCTCACATTATGCATTATAATTAACATATTTCTTAATATAATTATAATACTGATTCATAAATCATAATAAAATTATGATTAATTACTTGCAACAGCTGCTACTGACCTCGCTTAATGTAGTCTTGAATTCTATTTATTAAAATTATTTTGTCAGTTTTCTCTTCAGACTCAATACTTGGAAGAAACTTCCCAAGTTGCCTCCCTTTAGCTGAAAGATGTTTATTATCTAATTTATAAAAGACGTCACATGAAAATAGTAAATATACCTGTTGGTTTAAGTGCATCAAATATTTTAGTTTCTTGGTTAAATTCAAGCATACGAATATCACCACAACTGCATTGACTTAGGTGCTCTTGATAACCACTGGAAGATTGTTGATGTACTCTGTATCCAAGTGGAATATTCGCGGTTGTTGTAACATCGCTTTGCTTTCTTTGATGAGTTTCCACTTGACTGCAAGTTATTCTCGACATCAGCAACACGTTTATCGGATAGCAAAAAGTTAACTGGTATTTCAAATCACTTGGAATACGAGTAAGTCAATAAGTCTTTGTTTACAGTTACCATGACAACCTCCAGTACATCACGTGAAATAATCGACTATATCCAAGAGAAAAATATAGCCTGGAAAAGACAGCTATTAAAGATGCTGACTGTTTACAGAAAACACTTATTTCAATTGTTTGTCATACAAGACGAATTTGTTTTCACTATTTTTATTGATATGAAATAGTTTTAATGATATTTATCAAGCTAAAGTGCATTCCAGCAATTAACTGAATACAATCTCTGATGATATTCTATGTAAAATAGTAGATTAGTGATTCAATCACAGTCGCAATTAATTTACAGTCAATTGAAAATTTTGCAGGCTATTAGAAATAGCAATACTACGAGTTGAAGCAAAATGATCCTAGAACAATGTTATTAGAAGGACGGTTCAGTCAGGAAAGCCATAGAACTCACGATTACCTTTGGATCGCTAAACAAAGTTTGTTTAAGCCGAACCACGTTGCGTGGCGAACTCGACAATGTTTGATTTCACCAGAGAGTCCTGTGCGAAATGTACCGAAGAGCAAGAGTGAGTACAGGAGATGAAAAGCAAGAGAGAGAGAGGGAGATAAAGGAGAAAGAGGAAAACGACAAAGCCCTCTCGGAAACAGCAGCAAACGTTACCCGGTTGGGCACGTCCAATGATTGAGTTGCCTCAAGCGAGTCTCAAAAGTTGTCGTTTCGAAACTGTAATTTCCGGGAAAATTGCAGAACAAGCTTGGTCTTGTATAGGCCTTGTATTTTTTTTCTCATGAAGAAAACAGTTATTATTGATACACAGTATTTTTTGCTCACTATATCTCTTGATAATTACTCGAATAATTACAAACTTTCATCAACACTTTTTTGTTATCTCTTATCAAATTTATAAAAAGAAGATAGTTATTTTATAGGGTAAGTTTACAACTTGGAACATTAAAGTGAATGAGAAAGGAAGGAAATAGAGACAAAGAGCAAGTACAAAAGTGACACTCGACACGTTTCCTCATCCTCTATATACTCTCGTGTCATTTATTTTTTCGCAAAAGACTCTCTTTCCGAGGCCAATGCTCTGCGTAGTATAAGTTAGCCACGAGGGTTACTCTTACACTGGCATTTCTCCCAAAGCAAACGTAATAAGTCTAGTCTGTTCATCCTAGCCTCTTTTGCTTTCTCATTTTCGGGGTCATCTCTTGGTTCTTGTTTTTGTTACGCGTAAGTCCAGCTCTTTCATAGCCGCACAGTTGAGCATCCTCCAGTGAACAGTCAGAAAATGGGTTCAAATAATGAAACCCTACCGACTAATAAAGGAACTTTATGATGCTCGTATACACATTGTGGTTTCTACCTCTGAAGCTCTCTTACCTTTTGCCGAGCTATATAGTGGTCAATACAGACAATATTAGCACAATTCAAACCCTACTGGAACAACCACAAACTCTTTCCGGATCCTCCAGTCAAGTTATAAAATCACTCTATCGACGTTATGAGCTTTGTGGTGGCTTTTTGTGCAGCCCTTCAATGCTCATGTAAGCCAACAGAATAACTATCATTTTGTTAGAGTATCTCAATCTGAATGTACTTTTTCAGTGATAAATTCAACAGCAGCCTTTGTAAATAATTAAAAATATTAATTAAATATAATCAGAAAAAAGGTCGCTAAGTTTCAATTAACAGCATGTAAATAAATTTTCATTATTTTTAATATTTAGAGCTGAGTAAATATTCATTTTATTACAACTTTTTCAACAAAAATACGCTATCGATTTATTAATAACAAATATCAGCAAAATGCCTGTTGCAGCAATATTTTTGAGGTAAATTATGAATTAACTAAACCACAGTTTATGGATTTTTGGAATTAAACGTTTTGTAATAGTTATTAAAAATACATAAACGTCAATAAATATAAATTTCACTTACTACTTCATTATTTTATTACTTAATTTTGATTTAACAAGTTTGCTCTATGTAAAAAGGATGATTATAAAGTTCTATGGACTAATTAGAAGGATATGAACTAATTTGTATGCTTAGCTGGTGATTCTCAAACTGAAATTGACCACTGAAGTTCCAAATCAAAGAGACTTAGTGAAATATGGACGCAAGACAATTAACTATAGTCCGTCATTAACAGCGACAAGGACGTAGGGATGAGGTAAATAGAAGAGGTCAAAGAGAGAGATAACGCTATTGTTACTATGGAGGTCGTTCATAACTCGGCAATCAGCCAGCCAATACCACTACGACATTCTCTGTAATTTATTGACAGAAGCTTTTTCTCTATAATTATAACAAAAATAATGAGTAAATAGATTTTTAATGCACCACTTACTGCCCTTTTATCTGTAATTAAATTGTCATCCAATTATTTAATTAATTGGTAAATTGAACTCACTAGAATAATATTTGAAATTTTTTCCAATAATTTTCATCCTCGTAATATAGCCATTTAAGGGCCATTTTTCACCATAGAAATTACTCTCTTATATTTGGATTAAGAAATCGATTCTAACAGGCTGCACATATAGCTTCCGGGATTTTACACGTGTAGACCACGTGTACAAATGTAATATATCTAAGCGTCAGTTGGAGATAAAGGAACAGGATAAGGCTTACACAATGCGTGAAAGGACAATGGCAAGGTTCCACAATGCCCCGACGTTGACCACACATGCATTGATCTAACATGCCTTTTTTCGTGGTGAATTTAAACTCAGTATTCTCCTGCTTTAATTTACTCGAATATACACAATGTTATACAACCAGTTTTTTTAATTAGCTTGTCTTTATTAAATAATAATGATAAAAAGAAAATAAAAGATATCAACTGTATTTTACTTTTATCAATAAATGTATAAATGTTTAAATCAATTTCCTTAACTGGTCTCAAATGTATATAGGCATTTGTTAATAAATGTTATATTGATTATTTAATATAATCAACTAACTGAGAATCAGCCGACTAAATAATTTTATACCCCATCCAATTCAGTTGAACGAACGCCCCCAATTCGTTTGACCGAGACAACCCCGCTGCGAAAACAATTTTATCTCGTCGCAAGCGCGCAAGGCGAACACAATTTACACCATTGCAATGTTTTCAATCGTCTATCAAGCGTTTCCATCACGTGCCAATACTAATAATCAAAAATATAATCAGTGTTATAAATATACTGATTAAAAAATCAATAAATATCTACAGTATTATTTTGTCCGTGAATTTTAATTAATCCTATCAAATTTATTTATCCATTTTTTATTTTAAATGATTTTCGATTGATCGGAGTATCACGAACAGAAAAAACTTCATGGGTAAATACAGACAAAGAATATTAGACATAAGTGAGAAAGATTTATGGCGCTAGACGAAAAGTCAAGTAAGATATATGTACTTGCGATTTCTGTTCTACTGCACAAGTTGCACGTCACCACAGAGGTTGCCCACTACTCTTGGATTTTACAGCTCTGATGAGAAAATCCTTGTTAGTTTGTTAGCAATTATTCGACCACACTATTTATACATTTACAGTGAAAGATAACTTTAAATGAAAAACATTATAAAATATGGTATATTCATTTCAAAACTTGATGCAACAGCATGCATAGAACAAAGTAAAGTTGCAAATAGTTTCATATGAATTATTTTTTCTTTAGTCTTTCGCAAAATTAGCAATTTCATTACATACCCGTATGGTACTGTTGATTAAAAAATAAAAAAAAATTATTCTAAAGTTTAAAAATATTTTGAAAAAATAATGAAACGAATGGGACTTTTTGCGAATGTGGATGTTTGGTTTTTGCGTTCATTTCAGTTGGTTACACGATGATTTATTCATCGACGTGCCAACGTGTACTCGAAATACCACATGGTTAGAACTGAGCGAAAATTGAAAAGGCTTCTTTGAACAATACCACAGGGAGTCGTTGCGAACCCTGAATTCGCAATGCGCCACTCGTTAATGTTATCTACTTGGTGTGGTGTGCTACAAGCATTGAGAAGCACATAATTACATATTCATGCTGCTTATATAGCATTGCGAGACATTAAAATTTTGTCGATTCATCTAATTTAATATAAACTATTTTATTCATCTATCCGTTTTGATAAATCTTGTATTAATACAGAATTCGATTAAAATAGATTGTTTTGTGTCAAATATAAAGAAGATTACAAATAATCGATGACAGAAAAAAAAATATAATCAGTAAAGAATTGAATTAACAAAGTAAATGCATTAAGTTTCAAGTAGTAAAAGTATGTAACAGGCAGACGTGACCGTTGAACGTCTCGACACTTATTGGTGTTTATTTTTTTAATGTTTTTGTATTTTATCCTCTTTACTCACACGATTTCTTAAAGTTGATAAGAAATCGAACAAGGTTACCTTTCGAGACTCGATCGTTACCGCACCATTGCGGAAGACATTGGAGTTTTAGTAGTAAGAAAAATCCGATAATATTGGCAGCATTCTTATACTTCTCTCGAAACCAAGTGAAAAAAAGGAAGATAGACTTGGTGAAGTTCCAGCAAGAAATCTCGCTACGATAGAATTTCGTGTGTATAGATATTAGATATCAAGTGTATACACAAATATATAACACCTTGCAATAATGAGTTTACTTTGTTCGCATTTGACGTAATATTTTTTTATAGCAGTGTAATTTGAAAATAAAATAATCCTGATTTGTGGTAGGATGTGAACTATTTTTTATAACAATAATCGGATTAAAAGTAATATAGAAATTGGCAAACTTGACCTCGTTTTTTATTATCAATTTTTTTTTTTTTAAACTTCAAGTATTCGATTTTCACTGAGCGAATCAGACGTTATTCATTCTTCCTTAGAAATCTTTTAGGATGAAAGCATAAGACTGGAGGTTGAAAGTGGGCTTTCGTAAAATTATGTTTCTTCATGCTTTATGAATTTCCAACCAGACA